AGAATGCACACAGTAATGTACAAAATATAATACACTACACGCATAATATGTAAGTTAGTAGAAGTGATGACAAGTCCTTTTCTCTACATTGGAGGAATGTGGTTATTAAATGAGGTCATATCTGTGCAAGGTAACTGTGTCCATGAAGTTGGAAGGTGCTACAGAAATGTACACAGTTCCGCCCTCCGCCACCACGAGGGCGAGCACCTTCTGCATGCCTGCCCGCCCATGGTAACCTGGCAGGCCCTACCTTCCTTGCCTGACACCACAGGGAGCCCTCTGCAAGCCAAGGACCAAGGTCAGCTCAGCACGAGTCCTTGCCCCTGCTATCGCCTCTGCGGAAGGCCTGGCGCAGACCCTGGAACCAATGCCAACCTCTGCTCTATCTCTGTAACCAGCCAATAACATCCACAGATCTTGTCTTCATTCAAGGCCTGCGTCTACGTGAAATGCAGCTGCACCCTCACCACAGCTTGTGACATTGCACTTACCCCAGGGCCAGTCTGCTAAATGAGCCCGGTCCCTGGACAAGGCAGCCCCTCAACACTTGCTTTAAGATGAGCGAGAGAAATTCGCAGAGGCCCTCTTGCTCACGCTGCCTCTGCGCAGGAGAAAACTTATCCAGCCCAGCCCAGGACAGCCCTGTTCCAGCAGCAGGCCCAGCGACGAGCCGAAAGGCTGAGCAACAGAGGAGCCAGGCACGGCCTCAGTGGGGAGGCCACTGGGTCGCTGCCTGCGGAGGCATCTAATAGGGAAAAGGGAGGCGCAGAATCAGGGAGGAGACCGGGCTCACTTTCAGCTAATTCAGTCTGTTCAACTGCACAAACAAAAACCCCTCCACAGAAACTGAGGTGTGTCCACAAAGCTGGTTGAAAGGAATTTTCAGAAATAATATTTCCCCTAAATAATCATTAGCTAAAGAGTTTCAACCCACATGTAAGAAAAAAAAAATTAGGGTAATTTTATTTCTTACTACCTGAGGCTATACAGTAATTAGGCAAATGACAGGGAATTTGTCACTTTGAGTAAACCATAAATGCATAAAATAATTTGTTTGAGTAAAATACAGCTGCCTTAGTCATCATCCTACTAATTTGACAAGGAATTCAAAAATGTCTCTCAGCTGTCTGATTCTGGGTTAGATATGCAAAAGCCCATCTTCAAAATGACGCTTCTTTAGGAAAAAAATAATAATAAATCCAGCAGTTTCTCCTCATCCATTAATTGCCAGCCCACTGGATGCTCTCAGGTCTTAAAAAAAAAAAAAAGTAAGCGACTACAAAGCAGTGAGCCGGAACCTTGTTAAACTTATCTCTCTGCTTCATCACCACAACCTCAGATGTAGTTTCTGAATAACTCTACATAGGGAAATGCCCACCACAGGTTCATAGAGACCACCTGTATGCCCCAAGCAGAGACGAAACTGGTCTTTTTAAGTTTTTAACCTGGGGGAACTCAAATGCACTTTTGTGTGAGCATCACTCGTAACTGTCCAGAGGCAGCAGAAGCCTTAATGTCCTGTACACACCCTCGTCTGCTCCCGGCCTCAGGAATTTGAGGGCACATGCGAACCTCTACAAGCACCACTACCCTCCATGAACAGCTTGAAGTACCTCAGTAGGTCTCTACAAAACACCACGAAGTGAACGCAAACTGACGTGCTCTCCAAACGGCCTGACACTTAGGCAGATGTTACAACCTTGCTGGTAGGTCAGTTCAGACTGAAGCAACTTGAAGCAAAGACCCAATGGAAAATTAAATTGTAATCCATATGCCACACACAGTAACAAACTGAATGGGCCTCTCTTCTCATGCTGAGAAAATATTTTGTAGACCATCGGGCAGTTTAAGTGACTAGGAGAGAATTTCCCTAGGACTGCTGACAGATCTGATGCATGATCCCAATTAAAGTATCTGGAATAGTACCAGACCTCAGAATCCACATGACCCCCACCTTCTCCATACGGTCACTAAGTGTGGGCTTCAGGGTCAATGCCAGTGTTCTTCTGTCCTCCTCTGGGAGACCACCAACAGCTAGGCAGAAGTCGCTGGTCCCTGGCTTGCTTAACAATTGGTGGCTTTCTCATATATAGGAGCTCCCACCCTGGGCAGGTTCTTTAAAGGAATATATAGATGGACACCACCCTCCCTCGCTCCCCCCCCCCCCCACACACAGAGTCCTACTTTTCAAAGTTGCTTCTCAAATCACAGGCAGCTTCTTGTTTCGGCTCTGCAGCTGGGAGGTCTACACCTGCGTTACTCAAGTCATTGGGCAATCTGTCTTTCCAGAGAAGAAAAGGAAAAATGAAATGAAACTTCCATGTGTAAAATAAATGGCACTTGGGAAGACAAAGTAAAAAGTAGCTGCATGGGCTTTTGGAATCAAGTAGGAAATAATGTCACTGGCACAGAATTTGCAATCCTGCAGAACACACACCTCACACATAGACCCTGCATGTGTGATCACCTATAATCACAGGTTTTCAGGTTTCCTCAGTGAGCCTGAGATGAACCTAAAAGGAAGACGTCTGCCTTCCGGCAAGCATCCTGAAATCTTTCATTCTCCAGTTATCCGTAACAAAGCCTCACATAGCTGAAGGAATAACAAACTTTTTATGCCACCTGCCAAATAACAGATGAAAACTCCCAAGTGAGCCAGAAGAGCAAAACACATAGCAAGCTGATTCAGTCAAGCCTGGCGAGGAAACTATTTATTTTCATGAAGTTCAGATGGCAGTGGAGAGTCGAAGGCAGCCAGGCAAGGAGCTGCCCTGAGCACGTCATGCCTCCGCTCCTAGTAATCAAAATGAATTCAATTTCCGAGGCCTGTGCTCTCCTGGGCCTTATCTGCTTTCTGCCAGTCACCTGTTGATTCCTGTTACCCTACCCCTTGAACCAGGCTTTTCACCAGCCCAGGCTGTAAGTACCAGGAGGCCCCCACCAGCTAGACTGGATTCCTCAGGCTGCCACTTGCCTATTACAGGATTCCAGTCAACTTCCTATCTCCTGGCGCCATCCCTGCCTCTGCACATCCACCGCTCCGCCAGCCCTCTACTTCTTAACTTTCTCAAGGACTTTAGGCCACTCATTTGACTGGAACCCTTAGATCACTGTAAGCCAACTGTAAACCCATGTCTTTATCATTCACGGTGTGCCAAGTTCTGCTGGTGTCTGCCATACATGGGTGCTGCTCTCTACTGAACAAAACGGGTTTGGGACAAACTGTTAAACTGGCAGCAGCCACGGGCACGCTAATTACCCTCTTTTAAACACAGACTTCCCTCCCCTCCACCCCCCTCCCCTGCTTCCAGCCCCCGGTTAGGAATTATATACTTTGTCTATGCTCCGGTAAAGACCAACACATGTTTATTAATGTGCATTTGCATCTTAGTAATACACATAGCTCTTTTAATATTTTAACACTGAGAGTCTCTCCAAGAAAGGTCTGATAAACTGACCCACAAGACACAGCCTTCCCTTAACCCCTGTCACCAAATGCCACAGGTGCTGTCTGCAATTGTGTGTAGCGACTATAAAAAAGTGCATCTTACAAAACAAAAATGTCAACAGAAAACAAAATGTGCTTTTGCCTACAAGGTTCATCTGCAGCATACAAGGCAGAGGAGCAGAGAGGTATTTCAACATCTTTCATCTCACAAGGGGCAAAGGAAATGCTCTGGATTTTCAGAAGCCCTGCAACTGTCACCCCAGGAACAGAGCTGAGTTTGGACAATCTTTTGTCAGAACCACATAACTGGTTCTATGCTCCCTGCCCCACAGACCAAGCCTGCTTGCACTTCCTTCCGAGAGCAAGCCCCGCAACCTAGAAGATGGGTTATGAATGGTACAGGGCCGCCCGCGCCTGGCCCTCATTACCTGTAACCCAACAGCCAGCAAGGTGGGATCAGGGGTACCATCAGGAAGCGCACAGTTCTGTCCCTGGAGGTGGCTATCCAACAGCCAAAACCTTGTCCAATTCTATCTCCATCAAACTTGCTCACTAACACTCAAAGTCTGTAGCATTTGATTCCAGTTTCAGGTCAATAGTCAAGTAGTGATTTAACCCTATATGCTCTGGAAAATCTTCTCATGTTTAGTCAAGACTGTACTTAGGTCTGGACATGCACTCTCTGGAACTCAAGTTGGGACCACCTGCAAGGGGCACGAGAAGGCGGCACAGCGGGTGTTTGACAGTGCTGAGTCATTACGAGCTGTTTCCTCTGCTCCGTGATGCACCTCTGGGCCGTTTAAGCATTAATAGCCCCTTTCAGTAGGGAAACGAAATAGACATACATTGTGAAAAATGATGCAATCCCCTTGTGGGTGAGAGACGACGGTGGGCAATTTAGGTCTAACAGTGGATAGCGGGAAGTACTACGCAAACTCTCAGCTGCTCTCCAGGTATGGTAACTTTATTCCAGACGCTGAGGGATGGCTACTGGGATACGGAGCGGGAACAGTCCCCGAGTCGCCCTGGTTTGGATCAGGCCACACTCGGGAGCATTTTACTCTAAGCTGTTAAATACCCCCCATAATTGGCGGACGGAGAAAACGCCCGGAGAAAATGATGCATAATGGATTTGTTCTCCAGGCAGACGGAATGGAGAGTAGAAGACGCAGGATGCTAACTGGCTTTTCTCCTCATGTGCGGATCACCTGAAATCCGCGTTCCCTTCCTCTCCAAGGAGGCTCCTGAACTCGCCCTCTGGCTACACTTTCCAGGGGAGAGGAATGGTTTCACGCCCACCTGCCCGCAGCCTCTCCTTGAATCCCCCCGGCCCCCGCTGGCTGCACGAGCAGCTGCCGGCATCCGCGTCCCGCCCGCCCCAGGCTCGCTCGGCAGCCCGGCCGGCAGCTCCCTCGGCAGCCGCCTCTGCACCACTCGCCAACCTCCACGCCGGGCGGAGGTCACGCCCGCCCGTCCCCTCCTCGTGCCAGCCGGCTGCCCGGGCGCGGGGCTGGGGAAGGGGCCCCGCAGCGGAGTTGGCACAGAGACTCACCAGGTAGGCGCCCACCGTGCCCTGCGCCAGCATCAGGGCGCACTCAGACACCAGGAAGATTTTGATGTTGGAGAAGCAGGACACCTTCTTTTTCTTCTTCTTGTTCCTCTCAGCCTCGTCCCCCTGCAGCTCGCCGCTCCGGCCGCCGCCCGACGAGCCGCCCGGCTTCTTCCCCTGCATCCTTCTCCCGCCGCTGCCGCCGCTGCCGCTGCCGCCGCCGCCGCCGCCGCCGCTTTCCCGCTCGCCCCGAGTGTCCGGGCCGCTGCTGGGCGGGGGTGCGCGCGGCGAAGCTGCGTGCTGTCCCCACCTCGGGCCCGCGGCGGCCGCCCCCGTCCTGCCGGGGCTAGAGAGGTGGAAGCACAGCTCCTCGCCGCCGCCTCCGCCGCGCTCGCCCCTTCCTCCTCCTCCTCCGCCCTCCCCTCGCCTCCTCCTCCGGCTCGGGCTGTGCCAATCACAGGGGCTCCTCGCGCCGCCCGCCGCCTCCGCAGCCGCCTCGCCGCCTGCGGACAGTGGCCGCTGCCATCGCCGGCTTCCCCTGACCCGCTGGCCTCCCTGCCCTCGCCTCTCCTGCCTTTACACAGGAGCCGGAGCCCGAGCCCGATCGCCTGTGCCCGCCCCCGTGCACCTCTTGCAGCCTACACGCCTCGGGGAAAGCGCGACGGGAATCGGCTTGGGGGCGCCAAGGGAGGCCCCGCGACCGAGGCTAGGAGGGTCCCGAAGCCCGAAAGACCAGGAGAGGGTGCGTCCTTGAGGAGTAAGCGGGGCGCGGGGCCGGGGGTGCCCCGGTGGGAGGGAGGCGGTGCCCGGCCCCTAGATGGCGCTGCGGGGCACGGGGCGCCCCCGCGGACACTGGGTGGTACTGCACGAGAAACTGGCGGCGCAGAAATGGCAGAGATGGGGTGCAGAGGCGCCCCCGCGGGGCGGGGACCTAGAGTTCCGGCATCTGGGCGCTAGACAGAAGGGGAGGGGCTGTTTCTAGGAAGAGTGAATAGGCCGAGTACGCAGAAAGGGGTTGTGGTCTCTCTTCACCTCTGCCAGGGCATTTCTGGGGACAGACGTTGCGCTTTGGGGCTTGGGGAAGTGCCGGAGGTCAGAGCTGCTGGAGGCTTCTGCAGCCTGCTGGCCTCAGCTTTTCCCAACCACTGGGTGTGCCCGAACCGCCCCAGGCCGAAAGGAGAGAAAGGAATGGAAGCACAGCTAGAGGCAAGTTCCATTAATCCTTCAAGCCTCACTGAACACCAGGCGCCCCTCAGCCACGGTGTCTAGGCTGCTGCAGGGTCGCAGCGACCCTAGCAGAGGGCTCGTGTCAAGCCCTCCATCTGCCTGGAGCCCTTCCTCGGGATGCTGCAGCCGGCCTGCAACTAAGGGGAAGCGATTAGCCCACAGGCCTGCGCAGGTCTCCGCCCCTCCCCTAGTTTTGTGGCTGGGGCCGCTTTCTTTGGCCTTGGCCTGAATGTCCCGGCTCACCGCAGCTGCTCTTTATAAATTATTACCTGGAGTTTGGACCACATGGCACTACCATTGGAATCTGCTAGTCCTCAGACGACTTTTGGAAGCTCAGAGGAAACTGGTAAAGACTGGACAAGTACCAGGAAGCACTCAGCATCTTCCACTTGGGCCTTAGGAGGGCCTGAGGGGTGTGGGGCGAGGAGGGGTTGGTGCGGAGCACTGATCATTTGAAAATCCTTTCCTTCATAATCGTGTCAAAGAAAATGATCCACTCTCTCAGGCTCCTGTGCACCAACGCAGGCTTAACTTTGAAACCGAATAGCAATTAATGCTGCCATAATTTTCACTTACCCCCAAAGCACTTGAAGGAGAATGGGTGGGGTATGATGGGGTTGTTGTCTTCCTGGGCCAGTTAAACAGAAACTGCTTCAGCCATCCGTGACTCTAGACATGATCTCAGCTGGGCCTGGTGTCCATTTCAGATGCTCCCCTGCCCTTGTCTGCACTCTCTCCTATCTGCACTGGCTCCCGTCACGGAGGTCTTTCCCATCTCCCCCAATTCCTGTCTCCATGGTTACACTAGGCCCAGCAGTCTTATCACCTCTCTGCGACCCCTCCCTTGCTCCCCCAACCCTGCCATCTCTCACGGCCAACTTTCCTACAAATCCTCTCCTTCACCGTGGGCCCCTCGGTCACTCTGGCGCCTGGGAGCGCTTCCTGACTGTGTCCTCAGAAGACCTTTGGTGTGCGAGCCCCCTCCCCGGCCTCCACACTGAGAGTGCAAAGCTGAGTGGAGACGGCTTCCTTGTCTCGGAACGGTGACCCTGCTGCTACTGAAATGGCACTCAGGCCGCATATAGTCTCCAAGTCTTATTCACATTCTTACTCTGTGGGAACAGGAGCTAATGTTCATTGTCTGCGTCCTCTGGCCAGGCACCATTTGTTCCCAGTGCTTCACCTGCACTCGCCATTTAATCCTCACAGCCATCCTCTGGACTACTTACTATTATTAGCCCTGTTTTATAGATATGATAACAGAGGTCTAGGAGGGTTAAGTCACCTTATCAATGTCACATACCCAGAAAAACAGCAGAGCCAGCCTTTGAAACCAAGGTGTTCAGAACCACATGGCTGTCCGTGACTCCTGACAAGTGACCTCACGGACCACCCAGTGGTCTGTCTCCAGGGGAGGGGGGACTCTTATTGTTCCTGTGTTATAAACGGCAGCTCAGAGATTTATTGTCATTAGCCCAGTGTCACACAGCTCAGAAGGGACAGGATTTGACTCTAAGTCCAGCTCTCTGCTCTATACCTCTGCCTCATACACAGTCCAAAAGGGGCACAGGCTTTTTATTTTTTTTCCATTTCAACCATTTATTTCAGATAAAAACTTAACTTTCCTTAGAGAAATCAAACATTTTGCTGCCACATTAGGGCTGTAGATTCCTCCTATAAGTACAGTAAGCAGCTATGAAAATAATCCTGTGAACAATAATCAAAGCTGGGCTGAAGGAAATTAACTGTCAGCCTCATGACAGTCAGAAAGAAACAATTTAACACATACAATTCCCTTCCCTCTTGCTCATCCTTTATTCACCTCTAGACCCGGGGTTCGGGGTGCTTCTGCCAGCTCTTCTCCTGTGCAGACAGAAGGAGCAGCAGAAAAACAGCACTGGCGGCCACACCTGTGCAGCCCGTGAACGCCGGGGAGTGCTCTGAGGTCCTGCCTCTCATTCAAACCTCCCAGCAGGGGGAGCTGATTTTATCAACTCCATTTTACTCATGAGAAGGAGCGACTGGCTTTTTGGAATGCATAGCTAGCTAGCAAGTGGCAGGAATTGAAACCCGCGTTCTCTACCCCAAACCGGTGGGGCAGCTGAGGAGGAGGAGGAAGAATTACAGAGGACCCCCACGGTCTGTGGTGCCCCCTCTGAAATGGATGATGAGCCATCATGTCAAACAGAGCATCCGCCCCGCCCACCGTCTGAACCGGGCAGCCTCAGACAGTGCCCTGGGGAACACAGCAGCCTCCCACCTTCCCGGCTGGAGCCTTTTCACCCACCTACCCCACTGGTGGTAGGCGGTGAATTTAGGAACGGTCGCTACCATGAATGCCTATAGGGCCCTCGTGATTAGTTTTACTGGGCCATGTGACTTTTCTGAGTTAGGTGTTCAAATTGCTAGCTAAGGCTGTGGTTCCATGGCTCCTTACTTTGTTGGCTACTAGAGGTATTCCAAACCCTGAGAAGCCATGTAACCTGGAAATCTAATCTAGGGAAGCATAAAAAAGGTTGGGTGACATGGGAAGATAAACTGGCTTTTGATTCCTAAAATATTAATAAGCTGTGATTAGGATTTGGAGAGCTTTTCTCCACCCCCACCACCCCTTTGGAAAGGCCCATCAATTCATTTATGTGGGAGAGAGGTGGGTTCACTTCATGGGCACAGAAAAGAAAAGGAGGGCATCGTCCTCTGTTCCTGGGCTGAGGCAAGATTTCACAGCAAGCAGCCTCCATGTAGACCCGACACAATGAGAAACTTGTTCCAGTAATTCACATGAACCATCTTTTGCCAGCTTCAATTGTGTTCACAGGCAAATACGAAGTAGAATAAACACAAAGAATGACTTCTGATTGTCAGTGGGATGGAAAATAGATGCTTAGAGTCTACCCTATAGGTGGATTTTTTTTTTCTTTTTCTGAAAATACACCCATCATATATTGTGTCCAACCAGGGACAGAATTAGGGCTAAGCCAACTTCTTTTGGCTTAAAACTAATGCTTGGGCTGAGATGAGGCTTATTTCTCCTTCCTCAGAGTTCTTCTCACCAGCCGCACCCCCCAATCCCACCGCCCCTCCTCTGTGCAACTAGCCTGGTCCACATGCTTTTTTCCTACCATATAGCCTGTGTTTGCTACTTACAATATTCAATGTCCTATATTTTACATTATCTCTTAATTTGAATACATTCTAAAGCTCAGCAAAGAAGTGAACATGATAAACATCAGTGTAGAAGCAATTTTTTAAAATGCTGAATTCAAAACCCACATGGAGAAACAGAAGACGAAAGAACATTAATGGAAATTACAAGTAGAAAAACTATGAAATAAAAACAGGAGAAGTTTAACAAATAAGAAACTCCCTTACAAACAGTGTTAATAAATTTTTAAGAAGTGAAGGAAATGGATATTTTCATGACAAATTTTACCTGACCCTAAGATAATTACTGATAAAGAGGTTCCACTGTCTGAAAATTTCACCAGTGACAACTCTCAGACTTCTACAAAGATGGATAATTCCATATTACATTTTTCCAAGTATTAAAACAAAAGCTGAAATATTCATTTTATGAAGCCAGCATAACACTGACATAAAACTTGACAAAGATACAGAACAAAAGAACAATAAATACTACTGTGACTTTGTAGTGCCATGTTCAACATTTCAATAACATGATGAAAACCAAAAGATAAGCCATTATTACCTTTCTTGTATTGCTTAGTGATTCTAAAGTTCATACAGTTAAATTACAAGAAAAAAAAAACATACTGGAATAGGAAAAGCGGGGCAATTAAAGAGTCATGTACTACTAGGTATTACAATAGAGCCCAAGCAACACTGACCCAGCTCAAGGTACGGCAGACAGATTGAACAAGAGAACAAAATGGAACAATCAGCTCTGAAATAGACCCCGGTATCTATCCCAGCTTAATAAAATAAGCACACACAAAAATAAAGAAAAATAGAGAAAGAGGTTTTTCATCAGATGGCTGAGAAAATTGATTAACTCAAATCATAGCCTCACTGTTGCAGCAGCCAAAAACTAAAACAACAGTTTTTAAAAAGGTGGATTAAAAAATACACATAGACAAAAAATATAAGTGAATACTTATCAGATCTCTGGAGAGGGAAAGGCATTCTAAACAGAAAAAC